TGGAGGGGACAGCCTTTGCACAACTCAGAACTTCTATCTGGATGTCTACTACCAGTTAAGCGTTCTCAAGCGGATGCGGTCGAGGGTTAGACCGGAGCCAGTCGGATATTTGATCCTGAACTGGGGCCTTTCAATGCTGCACCTCTTCCGACTACACAACCCTCCCCTGCGTGTAAGTCAAAATAAACATTAGAAATTACATTATACTCACTGATTTTATCTTTTTCGTCTTGGCCTCACTTTTCAGCTTCTTCATGTAGCTCTTGTATACATCCAAGGGCAACTCGTCGTAGGAACCTCGGGCTGAAACATTTCAAATTTTTCACAGTTGACTTCCTGTAGCCACATTTACGACATTATTACGGCAACGACGACATCACTAGCCATAAAATTCATACGGTTAAAAAAAGACCTACCACGCAAGTCATGACTGGAGAACAGCTTTATAGGACGGATGTAGCGAAATTCAGGAATGAACATTGGTTCTAATCTGTACGCCACAGGATCATAAGGATGGAAGATGTTGAAAACGCGCTCCACCTACAATTCGGATAATTGTAAGAAAAACATGTAATGCATGTGACGTTCTTTGGTGCTGTTCGGCTTGGGAGGGGCATTTTACACATTCACGAGTGCTTTTTGCTACTCCGAGTTCACTTACAGGTCTCAACGAAAATGAGACTCCTGAACTATTGTAAAACTGCAAAAAGGTAGGTATAAGTGAGCAACTTTGGTTACAACAATTTAAAGGTCTTCACAAAGCAGCCTGGATAAGCACCGCTGTGCAACATTTGGTGCCCCCACCAAACCGAACCGCGCGAGTTTTTGCTTACATTCATTTTGGATGGTAGAAGATCAGCGTGAGTGGCACCACGCATCACCAGGAAAACTGCCAGAGGACTCCCAACAGCAAATAAATATTTCACCTGAGATCATATTAATGAAAATCCTATGACCAAAAGCTATCACAAAGATCTTCACAAAGAAGGAAAATATAAGAAATACCACTGAAAATGAAAAATAATGGACTATGTTGTAAAATTCAAGTATTAGTAACCTTGAACAGCAACTCCTCATCGTTATACTGTAGCATTTTGTTGATTCCT